ACACGTGGGAAAGCCCAAGTGCAATTATGTCAATTCTTGATTCATGACAAACAACATAACACTAATCTTGTACATATGAATATTTTCATGATTTTTACACACGAACATATAAAGGTATATGAGGCATGAACATATGAAAGGTATATTAGCAAATGTGGTGGAATATAAACCAAAATCACTCACGATAGATTTGAGGTTTAGGCTGAGTGTGTCTGTTCTGACTGACTCAGAAAGCAAACTGAGGAAGGTGAGGACAGGCATGCTTCGTGCAGAGTAGCATGTTTCACTTTGAAGGTCACAGGTTAGAAGCATTGTCTGAACTTTTCTCTGGGGTATGCCGGTGTGTTGGGAAATGAACAAGCGGTTAGACTGGCTAGCTGTGCACAAGATGGTGGGATACTGATGAATGAAAAGGCAGACATGGTTAGGGTCTTGTGGAAGAATGTGACGCAGTGGGCAGTGACAAGGGGATTACGCTAATACTCAACGCTCAGAGGAAAGGCAAGATGGATGTATAATCAAAATGCTACTGGCACCATTGGTAGTGGAACTCTGCGCTGGCTGCTGAAGATGGGGACAGAGTGCCCCGAGTGCTGGCTGTAATGATGGTGCTTGAATCAACTCAAGGGTTTTCATTATTCATGCTCAATTCGTGCGGCACAAGGATAAGATCTGCTGGCAATTGAATTATTATACAGCACCAAAGAATGAGGTCATGTATCTTTGATTGGATGCAGTTTGTTTAGTAAGTCGCTGTAGCGGGTGGCATTGATGTGTGTGAGCATGAATGTAGGAGTGAGTCAGTCAGTGTTCGAGTGAGTGTATGTGTTTGTATGTGTAACAGAAAAGTCCCAGTGCACTATAAATTAAAGTCACTGAATGAACGGATGAAGGTCTTGGATGGGGAAGCTGAAGACACAGTTAGATGTGTGTGCAGGCTTAAGAATACTAGGTGAGGAGAGGAGTGGGTCAGAGTGCAGATTCGTGTAGGATTCTAATCACAGTAGGCCTTAGGTAGGGATTGGCGTCTGGGTGCTGTAGAATCAGAAGTTCAACAAGTGATTCATGACAATTCCCCTCCAGGTGATGTGATTATCTATACATATGGCTCTGTGTTGAGAGACAGAAGTGCATGGTGGTTCGAAGCAAAAGTGAATGTATATCACTTAGTGCAGCAAAGCCAGGCACATTATATTACATCTAGTTTGAGAATGGAGGTAGAGGCAGTGACTGTAGCCTTCATTAGCCTGAGAACCAGCTGCACACATACAGCATAGTGAAAATGGTGGAATCAGGCGCGCACCATGTAGAACATCGCTTCAGAGATTCTGGGTAGACAGCGTCCTTTAGATATTATCTACAGGTCATTTTGGTGTCTTGGGGGATGAACAGGAAGATATCTAGGCTGGTTCTGCCTCTCTTGGTGGTAGATTGATGCATGACAAGCTAGATGTTGTAAGGGCCCTTTGTGAGCGAATAAAAGGTGGGGGAGGGGGACAAATAGATCAAAAAGCTCTGAAGAGTACGGTGTGGCAAGGAGTGACTAGAGGATCTGGTGGATGCTCAACACTCAAAGAAAAGGTGAGACAGATATACAGACTCTTACTGGTACCACCCGAATTGGCACTCTGCATTTGCTACTGAAGATGGGGACAGAGCGCTTATGGGAATGTCCTCAGTGCTATACATAATGTCAGTTCTTAATTCATAAATTAAAATGTTTGCACAATAACACATTAATCCCTTGCATTATGTATACAACATGGCATAAATAAACTATACAAAAATGCATAAATTATAAATGCAGTCTCTGAAACAATAAATAGAACGGTCCAAGATGCTTCGCTGTTAAACACACCGATACGCTGTCCTATAAGTGTCCTTGGTTATCAGCACATACTTTAACCTGGAAAGAAACAATGTTCATCAAATTAATTATCATAAATTAATCACTTTGAAACAGCACAAGACAACAATGCCACCACAAACAATATATTCCACATCTGACTGGTATAGACCAGGAAGAAGAAAAACACGGACATCCTAAGTGATCTGAGTGTTGAGCAGAACTGTCTCATAACCAACATCCTGTCTGGCAAGCTGAGGTATTCTGACCATGTTCGACACCATTGTGGCCTGGAGAGAACGGTAATGGAAGGTGCAGTTTCTGGAAAGGAATGCAGAGGCAGACCTCCACAAAAGTGGATAGAGGACATTGAAGATACTTCTTCTTCTTCTGCCTTTCTAGCATAGGCCCTCAACCAACTCACGCCAAGTCATTCTATCCTTTGCTATCGCATGCAGCTTGCCCCATCTTTCTAACTTCATTCTCCAGCTCCCTTCTCCATGTGTTTTTTGGCCTTCTTTTATTCCTATGCCCCCTGTGGGTTCCAATGCAAAGACATTCTAGTTATATTGTTTTCCGGTTTTCTCCATGTGTATCCTATCCAACACCAGGGTCTTTTCTTCACCTCTTGGTCCACTAGAGCTTGCTTAGTTCTCTCCAAAAGCTCTACATAATTGATTCTATCATGCCATTTAATTGAAGATACTTTGGCTATGAAAGCTGAAGAACTGGCTAAAGAAAGAGAGAGTTTTATGTGTGCCGTGATGAGAGCAACTTTCTGTAAGGAACCTGCTGATTGGCTAATGAATGCCTGGCATATTTCATAAATCATTCCATACACAAAATTCTAAAGAAAATGTCAATCCAAATGAGAGTTAGAACCAGCCAGCTTTACAATACCGCAGTCATAAATGACAAAATTAAATCTAGCAACAAATCATGCAATCTATTGTTTGTCCTCATTATATTTACTACAAGATAATTTGTTGAAACAATAAAAAATAAACTTGCAGACAAGGTAATTTTTACTTCTTCTAGCTTTTCTTCATGTTTACTGGTTTTTAATCAGACATTGCACAGTGAGGGATATGACAAAGACAGGATCCTAGTAATTATGGAATAAATGGTTTGGGACATAAGGTTATCTGTAGAGTAACTAACTCAGGGATGATCGTGACAAGAAATGACATTGTAGATATATTACCACCAAGACCTTGCTTTCAGTCTCTCTTCCTGCCACTTCTTGGTTAGTGTTCATCGGCTGGAAATTCTGGCAGAAAGTCCAGGTTGTTCTTCCATTTCTGAGCTTTAACTTTGTTCCAGGACCTGGGTATTGCATGCATATCTGTTTTACAGATCTGGCTTGTGTGTGTGTGTGCATGTGTATGCAGACTGTTGATTGCTTGCTTCTCAGAAAAGATGCATTCTGACTTCAAAGGAAATGTTGATCCTATAGATTGATCCCCCCTCCCCCCACTGGAGATCTGTTTCTAGGATGACTGTGGAGAGCTGCAGATAGCTCTGTACCAATGCATGTGGTTCAGCACCATGCTTGCCTGTGGCTCAAAAGGTCACGGGTTCAAATCTGCATGAAGCCGGATTTTCTTCATACGTGACCTTGGCTGCTAGTTCAACCCAGCCATAAATGGGTCATGGAAAGTAAAGGCGGCTGGCGTAATGTTGTCCACAACACCCTTCAAGGTCTATAAAATTATGTCTAGCCTTATATGCCTAAAGCACCCCTGGCAAGTAAAGACGCCTTTACTTTATTGTCTGTATGTACCCACCTTGTGGTGAAGCACGTATGGTAGGACCATGTTTCACAGGGAACCGGAAAGTCCTCCTGTATGATCTTCCTGTAAGTACGCTTGTACGGGATCAGGTACTGCTCAAATACACACGTACTGTAAAATGGATAACGAAATCATTCAACATACAATCCGAGAATCATCTCATGATGACCCATTAAAATTAATACAGCAGAGAATGGAGATTGGACCTTTTCCCGTGTCTGGACCTTTTCCCATGTCTGGACCTTTTCCCCTGTCTGCAGATATACTGGGCATATAGGGCTAGACCTATATTTTATAGACCAATCAGCACTCACTGGCGGGTGATGTGGTCATCATCATGCTGACCACCTTTACTTCCCAGGACTTTACCTGGTACTCATTTAAGTCTGGGTCAACCTGGGAGCCACCCGGCGGCTGCCTAAAATGTGTCACTTGTTCAGTTTAACCTGTGTTCAGGGATTCTTCTTCGTTGTCTTCTTTCGCGGTTGCCCTCAGAATGGTGGTTGTCACCTTGTATTATGGTTTGCAGATAAGAGCACTATGCAGGAAGCTAAAGAAGAATAAGAAACCAAGAAGGATCTAGTGTCTTCAGCTGCTAAACGCTGCTGGGAGGGGGAGGGGGGGGGGCAGTGGATCTATTCCCACCCCCACCCACACCAATCCTGCTCCAAATGGGGCCTTGGCACCCATACAGGAATTATAAAGAAAACAAAAATGTAAGTATTGATGAAAGAAATAAAGAAAGAAAGAAAGTAAGAAAGAAAGAAATAAATAAAGAAAGAAAGAAAGAAAGAAAGAAAGAAAGAAAGAAAGAAAGAAAGAAAGAAAGAAAGAAAGAAAGAAAGAAAGAAAGAAAGAAAGAAAGAAAGAAAGAAAGAAAGAAAGAAAGAAAAGAAAGAAAGAAAGGACAGACAGACAGACAGAAAGAAAAGAAAGAAAGAAAGAAAGAAAGAAAAGAAAGAAAGAAAGAAAGAAAGAAAGAAAAGAAAGAAAGAAAGAAAGAAAGAAGAAAGAAAGAAAGAAAGAAAGAAAGAAAGAAAGAAAGAAAGAAAGAAAGAAAGAAAAGAAAGAAAGAAAGAAAGAAAGAAAAAGAAAGAAAGAAAGAAAGAAAGAAAGAAAGAAAGAAAAGAAGAAAAGAAAGAAAGAAAGAAAGAAAAGAAAGAAAGAAAGAAAGAAAGAAAAGAAAGAAAGAAAGAAAGAAAGAAAGAAAGAAAGAAAGAAAGAAAGAAAGAAAGAAAGAAAGAAAGAAAGAAAGAAAGAAAGAAAGAAAGAAAGAAAGAAAGAAAGAAAGAAAGAAAGAAAGAAAGAAAGAAAGAAAGAAAGAAAAGAAAGAAAGAAAGAAAGAAAGAGTATGAACCTACCTTCTCTCACATCTTCTTCCTGTGAAACCAAAGGGACAGTGACACTGGTTGTTATGGCAACGACCACCATTCAAACACGTGATCTGACACTTTGCTGAAATGAGCACAAAATCATAGAATAAATCATATAAGCATCCTTCAGAGATTCTCTAGCAATTTCCTACTTCCCCCAAAAAAATTTGGTTCTGTATGTTTTTTAAAAATTCACTGGGAACACAGAGTTCCCAAATATTACAGGTGTGTTATGGTTTGAAATGAACAGCGGCTAACCCTAACACACGTATACTCTTGGACTTTCCTGGGAACTATGGAATTCCCTGTGTTTGGGGTGAATACAAAATAAAGAACCAAAACAAACTGTTTAAAATAGATGTCAGTATTTAAAGTACAATGCTGAACAATTACTTTTTCATACCACTAGCAACCATTCGGGCATATGATGCTACTAATTTTTTTATAGGTCAATCCAAACTCAATGAGCAGCATGGTCAACAGCATGCCGGATGTCTTTACTTCCCATGACATTACCTGACACTCATTTTAGACAGGGTCAACCTGGGAGCCAAGGTTATTTTTGACAGAAAAATCTGTCCAGATGTTAAATGATTATTTAAGTAGACCTTTTTAAAACGTCTGTGAATGATGACTCTAGCTCCAGACAATGGATAACAACAACATGTTATCTTTATTCAGTAGCAGTGTCTTCTTCTTCTTTGTCTTCTTCTTCTTTTTCTTCTTCCTCCTCCTCCTATTCTTCTTCTTCTTCCTCCTCCTCTTCTTCTTCTGCTTTTTCTTCTTCTTCTTTTTTTTCTTCTTTTGTTCAGTGGCTGTAAACTAAAGTGTAAAGTCTTGGTTATTAGTTCAATTCTGGTTTTAAGTCTTGTTCCAGAATTTGAGTTTCAGGTACACATCCTTGTAAACAAATCTGGCTTATTTGTATGCAGACTGTTGGTTCTCCGCCTCTCAGGCATTTGCACTCAGACTTTGGATGAAACATCCTTAATCAGTCTCCTTTCACGACACGCTGGTTAAGGGGCAATGTTTTTTTTTTTTTTCTGCCAAAATGGGACCCAGATCCCACATGGAAATTCTAAACTTTAATGTCCAGTGACTCGAAGAGACGGGTTTTAAGAATATCACGGGTAAAGAAAAGATGATAAAACGATGAAAAGATGATAAAACATAGAATTGAAATATTTTGGTCACTTGAAATGTCAGGAAAGTTTAGATAGAACAATAACAGAGGGGTATATGCCTGGGAAAAGAAGAAGGCCAAAGAGAAGATGGGTGCAGGATGTGGCGGATGATCTCCAGATGGGTGTATCAGACATGGGACATCTTGCTTCGGATCAAGCAGTTTTGCGGAGGGTTGTTATGGGAGCATGGTTCTGCAAGGCACATGCTACTGCGTGACTGATGGACTCACAGAGCTATTATTCAGGTGAGAATGCAACAGGAGTAAATTCCCAGAAACCCTTAGCCCCTCCCCCACCTTGTTACTGAAGGTGGGGGGGGCTAAAAGGAAGAGGGGTAAGTAGTCATTTCAACTATATACATATGTTCTCTTTATGAGTATGTGTTTACACATTTCATGTTATTTCACACAGATCGTTATAGTTATTTGAAACTTAGCAAACAATAATAATGATTATTATTGTGCACTTAAATAAAGCACAACCACACCCTGCCCCATCCCCTCCCCCCCCCCCCCTCCCCCATATGAGCTTGCTCTCTTAGAACTTAGAAAATTATGAGGGGCTTCCCCCAGTGATTTCTTTGTGGAGGTGCCCTTGTGTTCAACCGCATAATTAAGTTTTATTAAAACACTCGATCTCGACGAAAGTGACTCGCTGTCTAATGTCAACGAGTAATTTCCCTATTTCCCACTTCAGAATTTTTAATCGTTATTGTGATAAAGCAGAAGCCACCATGGTTTAGAGGCAAGGCTAAAGGTCAAGGTTTCAAATTCTTACAGAGGTGAACTTTTTTTTTTTCAAATTACCTTAGCTCTGAGGTCAATTGAGCTTTAAATGGGTACCAGGTAAAGTCCTAGGAAGTAAGACGGCCTGCGTAATGCTGACTAAATCACCCCCGAGTGCTCACTGGTTTTAATATTTAGGTCTAACACTATATGTATAATACATACACCTGAAAGTGAGGTAAAAAGGTCCTAAGTAATAAAGGAGAAAAAATGTTATAATTTGTCTCTAATTTTCACTTACCTCTCTGACAGCGTCTGCCATAAAACAGGGGAGGACACTCACATTTATTCGGAGGAATGCATGAGCCACCATTTTGGCAAGGATATCTGACATTTTACTGAAACACAGTGACGCAGACTATATGTAATCTGTATATTCAAAATATGTACTAGAGCAGCAGGAAAGAAAGAAAAGAAAAGTTTATGTTGCTAAAACAAAGTCCTAAATATGTATATCTTAAATATGTATACCGGGGGTCGGCAAATGGGTCAAAACTGGCTGGCCTAGCGATTTTTATTAGCCTGTGAAGCTGGTGTAAAATTAGTATATAATCTGTTATTTGAGTGCACAAAACAGCCGAACACAAAAACGTATGTTTGTTTCCAGAAAGAAAAAAGTTCAGATGTCATCATAAACAGTGATTACCTAAACAGCAATAACCAGATGATGATGTCCTCAAATCTGTATAATCTTAGATTATCACACACAAAAATTATGTTATGAGAAAATCTGGGTGTTCATAACAGATTTTTTTTCCTAAATGCCCCACGATCAGGATCATCATCATCAAGTAGCAGGTCCTTTGCAGAACGTCGCTCTCATCAGTCTGCCTGTAAGAAACTCGGTCTCTTGCCAGTTCTCCCGCTTCATGAACTTTCACACTCAAGGAGTCATTATATGTCCATCTTCGTGTCGGTCGGCCTCTGCCCCTCCTTCCTGGTACCATGCCTTCTGCTATAATTTTTTCGAATCCGTTGTGGCGCTTGATATGACCAAAATATTTTAGCTTTTGAGAAAGGATGCTGTTTATTAGCCAATCTTCCTAGATGTTCAGATCTTTTAAGATGTCAATATTTCTCATCTTCTTTGTCCAAGATATTCTGAGAATCTTTCTATAGCATTTCAGCTCAAAAGCCCCTATTACGTTCAGGATAGTAATTATAAATTTATGTCCACTCCTGATGTATACTATAAAGTCAGCGCACTTAAACTGTATGCTGCCTGGCTCGCTAGCGTAGTTGGCTAAACCTGACTTCGCGGCAACTGTGGACGAACTCCTTGTGGTCCGCATTCACTCCTGGGGGTAGGCAGAAAGGCCACGCTTCTCCCAGATTTACGCTATTTATTATGAAATCAAGGCTGAAGAGTTGCGATATTCATAGTACTGAGCCAAAAGGGTTATCAACTTATAGTTTCTGGATATTTTTAAAAAAAAAATGATATGCTATGGAAAAGAAAAAAAAAAAATGAAAAAATATATCATCATCATCATCATCTTGATGTGCCATTATATTTCAGAAAGGGCTCACAGTTATATTCATCTATTCCATTCTATCTTCTGTATTTGTTTCAAAATTATGGGCAGACTCCAGACCAGCACTTGTGGTCTCTCACATCAACATTTCATATTTTTTTTTTTTTTACATCCTTTGTTCATTCAGTCTATTTGTTCTTCACTTCAGTGCCCTTTTTTTTGTGTGTTCTCTCTTTTCTTTTTTTTTAAAAATTAGTTTTTTCTTTAATGATATGTCCAAAACATCATCATTTTTTTGTGGGGGGGGACTCAAAATATACATTCTTTTTCTTCAGCATTCCGAGTCCTTATTGTTGAAGTCATCTCCTTGTGAGGTGCAATTTTTCTTTATTTTGAAGCCCCACCCTGGCTCTTGCCAGGGGCCGCAATATAGCCTGGCCATAAGTATGGTCTAATGGCTGAACGTGGTTTCTGGGACCTCTTTACGGGTGATCCTCATCCATATGGTGGCACAATGTGTCATCGAGTGTTTATCGCTTGTGTGATGTCCTAATAGGGTAAAAGAAAATAGATAGATTCTGAGCCCTTGAGGTTTACTGCTGCAGACATCCACACAAATAAATTCCAGATATACATTATACACATTTTCCAATGCCCTAAACATATTGGTGCATCATATGTTAAGACGTTGGACAAATTCTAACTCAACAAATGGGTAACTAAAAATCCCTTTCAATCATGCGATGAATAGATGGAAGTTACAAAGCCCTAAATGCCGGGATCTACATATCACATACCAAGGCTTGCCCCCGATGCCTCTTTGAAACTTGTCCTTGAAATGCAGAATAAGACTAGAGAAGAAGAAGTTTATGGGATTTCTTAAATTCTATCCTGGGTTGCCAGATTGCCCATTCTAAAATCAGTATTAAAGAAATTTCAGCTTCCTCCAATGTATTTTTAAGATTATTTGAATTTAATCATAGATTTATTCTTTCTTTGGACATCTTCATAGAAATGAAAGAATGAAAGATACAAATTGAAATTTTTTTTTTTTAATCTAAAAAAAAATTTACTGAATAGACGAAAAAGCTCACTTTTCTGACACCTAGATCCAGAATAGCCATTTTTACACAAACACAGATCTGGAGACACACAGACTCCGCCATGCTGACAAGCAGGCTGGCATTCAGCTGCAATAAAAACATACAAAATATATTTTATCGTTTTCAGAATATCATTAAAAGTATTTATGCATTTCACATTATTTCAAATATATTATTTTATTTATTTTCAACTCAGCAGAGTATTATTATTATGTTCTAAAATTAGGATCAAGCTCTCTGAGGACCCCTTCCTCCCCACCACCTACCCCTATTGCCAATAACATTTGTACATCAAACAGGCAGGGCTGAGCACCCATCCTCTTCCCCCACCCATAGTGTTTTCTTTGTGTTCATGTCTCTAACTCACCTACACCCTCATATATACAATCACCCTACCACCCCTAGTGTTTTCTTTGTGTTCGTGTCTCTGACTTACCTCCACCCCACACATACAAGCACCTCCCCCCCCCCCCCCTCCCACCGCCAGTGTTTTCTTTGTGTTTGAATCTCTGACTCACCTCTCCCTCCAAATATCCAAGCCCCCCCACCCATACATACATACATACATCCAAACACGAAGGTACACACATACCTTTCTGACAGCGTTTACCATGGTAACCTGCAGGACAGGCACAGATATTGGGACCCACACAACGTCCTCCATTGTAACATCCACGTTTGCACAGCGCTGGTAAAAATCAAATTCAAATTACATGATAGTGTTACAACATGTGATACAGAAAGAAGGGCCATAGGAAAAAACAGATGAGCCTGATATAAATAGTTGATCCCAGCATCATATGCCAGATAGCATACTACATACTTCTTCTGTGGCTGACAGGCTGTGTTGTGGTTTACAGCTAGGCTGAAAAATCTACTTATTTTGGCACAACAATCAAATTTTAGCAAACCCTTAATTAGTCGCCTTTTACTACATGCATGCCAAGATGCAGTGGATCTATTTCTCTCCCCCTCACCACCTCTCAAATGAGGCCTCAGGACCTTGGCGAGGAACCTTACTTTATTACTGCACTATAGTCAATGCCTATAAGCAGATTTATTTATTCAGTTCACAACTTTTGTATTTTATAGTTCTTCATCTTCTGCCTTTCTAGCCCTCACGGAGCATAGGCCCTCAACCACCTCACGCCAACTCATGCAGCTGTCCCCATGTCCTCCCCATGTCCTCCCCATGTCCTCCCCATTGTTTGTTAACTTCACTCTCTAGCCCACTCCATGTGTTTTTTGTTTTGTTTTGTTTTTGTTTTTGTCTTTTGTCTTTTTATTTTCTTTTATTTTTATGCCCATGTGGGTTCCAGTACAAAGACATTTTAGTTATATTGTTCTCAGGTTTTCTCAACGTGTGTCCTATCCAACGCCAGCGTCTTTTCTTCACCTTTTGGTCCACTGGAACTTGTTACAGATAAGGCATTAAAAAAAAAAAAAAACCAATCATACAGTACATAGCAAAATACCCTATGTTTATTAATCTCTTTTGCCACACACATTTGCACAGGAAGGGAGCAGGTATGGGGGGGGGGGGGGGGGGGGGGGGGGACCTGTCTGCAGTGGTGTAGGAACCTCACCTAACGATTAACTTTTGTGTGTGCATGAAATATCACTTTGTACTAATAAATAAATGGATTTGAGGAGTTAATATAGCTTACAGGATAATAATTAAGCATAAATAACAATGGTCCAGGACAGTACTGATACTCATAAATAGCTGGAAATCTCTTGAGTCTATTCTGGCGGATTAGGAATAGACTGCCTTCCTAATTCGCTGTAGTAAAAGTCGAATATCATGGGGTGTTTCCTTGAAGTTGGAGTGCATTAGCCTGAGAGGCAAGGAAACAACACTCTGCACACAAATAAGCCAGATCTGTAAAACTGATGTGCACACAAAAGTCTCAATGTTCTTAAAGAAGATATTATATTAACTCCCAGTATTCATTTATTTATTACAACAAAGTGATACCTCACGCAGACAAATGTTAGTTGTATGTTGGGGATGTTGAGGTTTCAATTTCACAGCAGACAGATCAACACATACCTGCTTTGTTCCTGTGCCAGAAGTGGATGAACAACCAGAACTTTCAGCTGGAGTTTATAAGGAAAAAAGGTTGTTGGCGCATAGTAATGTGGTTTACAGCTAGGCTGTGAAATCAGCTCCACATATCTGATGTGTGCAAATTTCTAATAAGTCAACTTTTTCAACATTGTTGTTAGGGTGCAATATCAACCCCCCCACCCCCTCTTGACCCCCAATAAGGCCATAGAACCCACACAGAAAGACAAATTAGTTATTTTTTTTTTTTTAACAGAAGACAATATAGAAAGGAAACTTGTATAGCCAACACAAACATACTTACGTTCACAGGTAGGTCCGTAATATCCTTGTGGGCACACACAGTGACCAGGATACACACAGTGGCCTCCATTTTGACACAGCTGCTTACAGACAGCTGTTAGAAGAAAGTACAGGAAGTAAGTGAGGGGCTACTATTTATGTCAGTGCTGCCCTGACCTAATATACTAGACTCATATTTGTATTGACCCGTTGCTTATTTTCTCAATGCTCAGTCTCTGAAGGCTCAGGTGGCTGGGTTGCAGACAGATGCGATGAGAAGGAGAAAACTGGAGTATTGTAGGAAAGCTGGAGTACAGGAGACCGAGAGAAAAGATGCTGGACAGTTTGACATCATGGCATGGAGGATCATCTGTAGCAGAGTTGACTGCAAGTACATGAGAGAGAAGGTTGTGGATAGGCATGACTAAAAATGCCACATGTCATGGACTTTAAGAAAAAGAAGAAGTGGTTGCATTCAGTGTGAATATCTTATCACTGCAGTTGTTAACCCAAAAGACACGCAGTTTGTAGACTTGAAACAGCTGATTCACTTAGGCTCTTCAGTAGAACATTATGTTTTGCAGTGGAATCCAGGTCACTGTGGCTTAGAAAAGCAATGAGTTAGCGGACTGACTGGTCAGATGCTGCAGGATAGGGTGCAGTCAAATTATGACTTAACCCACCAGGAGACTAAGACATTAATAAAAATAGTATCCAAGAAAGGTGGCTGGGTCATCATCATCATGTAGCAGGTTCTTTGCAGAACATCGCTCTTATCACGGTCTGTCTGCAAGAAACTCGGTCTCACGCCAGCTCTCCCGCCTCATGTACTTTCATAGTCAAGGAGTCACTTACATCCTGTGCTCATCTTCCTGTTGGTTCACCCCTGCTTCTCCTTCCAGGTACCATACCTTCTATTATTTTTTTCTAATCCGCCATGGCGCTTGACATGGCCCAAATTTTTTACCTTCCGAGACAAGATGCTGTTTATTAGCCAATCTTCCTTGATGTTCAGAGCTTTTAAAATGTCAGTATTTCTTCTCTTCTTTGTCCATGGTATTCTGGGAATCTTTCTTTAGCATTTCAGCTCAAAAGCCCCTATTCTTTTTCTTAAGGACTGGGAGATAGTCCACGACTCACATCCATCACATCTGTAAGTTGCTACAGGGAAGATGCATACTTTCAACATTTTAATTTTGATTTCCTTGCTGGTGCTTAACTATAGACTTTCAATGCTGTGATAGACACAGCAAATCATCTACCCAAGACTCACTTCATCATCTCTTTAGACAAGGGCAATGGGTTATATTCAGACTAGGGACAGGACATGACACGCTTCCCCAACATATGTTTTGAGTTTTGTGCTGTAGGAAACATGGAAGCGTGTCCCTGCATTTTAACATCAGAAAATTATGAGCATGTACTCCAGCACTGTAAATGGAGAAGCAATCTGGTCCATTCAAATCTCAATGAAGACAAAACTGTATAGTATACAAGGAGATTTTTACTGCACAATATCTTTCATAAAGGCTACAGTCTCCTGATATAAGTTTTCTGAAAAAAGGAAGAAGAGGAAGACCGCCTGAAAGCCATGAGAACTGTCTTTTTCCAAACTGCTCATGAGGAAAATAGTATTGCCTGTAAAAGTTTTCCATAAAGTGCATGAATTAATTTATTTAAGAAAAACTACTTACCATTTTGGCACCGGTCTCCAAAGAACTCCTGGCTACATCTGCATATATTGCCAGGTAAGCATGTACCTCCATTTTGGCACAGGGGAAAGCAGTCTGTGGAAACACAGAAAATGATATAAGACATACTTTCATGTATTACAGAAATTCTGTTATCACAAAGATTCCATCATGTATTTATTTGTAATCCATTTTCTACCTCGGAATGTATAAGTTTCTACTCTCGTAATCTTAGCATCTTCCTTAATTTAATTATGGCATTCAAGAAACTTTATCAAACAATTAATCCTAAGCTAACATGGCAGTTTTGTAAATGTTAAGATTAATTGCTGTTCTAAAGATGTGCACCTTCACTTCCAGTTTTATGTTAGACTTGACACTTTTATCTCAGACATGGTACTTAATGTCAATGAAACACTTTAAACAGAATGTAACTTTCAATATGTTTAATATTTTTTAAAATATTAGATTTAATTCTTAACTTAGAAAATAACACTAAATATTAAATATACTGTCACATAAAATCATGTAAACTAAGATATTTATTATGATATAAAGTGTTAAATATAACATCACATAGGATACTAAATGTAACGTATTATAAATATGAGTATGTAGCTCAAAATATGAAATTATCTTACACATGAAAATGTTACTTTTATAATTACCAATAATTCTACTGCCATTATTACTTCTATAAATAATCCTATTCTGTATCTGTCTCTCTTCTCTCTCTCTCTCACACACACACACTATATATATATACATATATGTGTGTGTATATATTATATATATATATATATATATGTGTATGTATATATATATATATATATATATATATATATATATATATATATATATATATATATATATATATATATATACATACAGTATTCTATAAATAGAAGTATATCTATAACTACACTTACTTCTGTAACTACAATTACTTTTATAACTACTATTAGTTTTATAGCTACTATTACTTCTATCATTACTATTAAATTTTAATAATTACCACTAATGCTGCTACTACTACGACTGTGACTATTACTTCTACAACTACTACTACTTTTGCTACCACTAATACTCATGTTGCTACTATTACTTTTACATCAAGCATTTTTTCCATCACCATTATCACTTCAACCAAGTCTGTTACTTCTTCTACCATAATTACTACTTCTACTGCGACTTACTTCTACTGCAACTTACTTCTAAAAACTACAATAACCTCTACTTCCATTATTAGATCTATAACTACTACCGCATTTCCCCCAAAATAAAAATAAGCCCTGGCATGATCATTTAGATGGCTCGTAATATAAACCCAAAATATAAACACTCACACTAAATTTAACCTTTAAGATCATTAACCAGATGGACGTATTTATTTAAACACACAACGCACATATTGAAATATAACAATGTTTTAGCAGAAGATGACAAGATAATTATTATAACTGTAGATTTTTGTACTTTAATAAATGTAGATTTCTGTACTTCAATAAACAAGATCTGTGTATATGTAAAAAGTACAACTCATAAAAGTCACGGCTGCTCATTTCTTCTCCAGGATATGCCCAATATAGTGCAATCTTTTTTTTTTTTTTTTTTGGTCTAATAACTGTTAACACCAGCTGTCTGGATATTTCTCATATTTCTTTAACAAACAGTCCACACCAATTTGGGTTGCAATTTTTTTCATTATTTTAAAGCCTCCCCTCGGGTTGTCACCAGGGGTCCAAATATAACCCAACCTATGGGCTGAAGGCGGTGTCTGGGACCTGTCCCCAGGTGATCCTCATCTGAATGGTGGCACTTTGTGTGTCCAGGGTGTTTATCGCTCGGAGTAATGTCCTGGTGGGGCTTGAACCTCAATCGATCAATCTCTAATTTCTTTGTCATGTTTTTTTTTAAAAATTCCTGCCATCTAATATACATTTTTGATGGCATCATGTAGTGATTGATTAATGGTTTTACAATTCAGAGAATCAACACTCTACTGAAAATTTAATGAGAACTTAAAAATATATTGCACAATTTGTTGCCTGGTATATTTTTCTGTTATCTCAGAATTTTCATCAACATATAACGAAGCAAACATAAAACAGTAAAATTTGCCAAACAAATAGTGCAGAGATTAGTGATCACTGTAGTCAAGCTAAAGTTAAGACTTAATTTCATTAAATACAAAATATAACAAGGAGGCTCAATAATGGAGACCACACACACAAAAATGCATACAAAAGAACCAAAACTTTGGCAATAATCTTTATCAACAAATAGATACCGATCAAGCTATTTGTTGGTAAAGACTGTTCAAAACATTTAATTGCATTTTTGAGCGTTTTTTCTATTTATCTTTCTCTGAGCTACCTAAATAGTTTGTGTTTAGTGAATTAATTTCTCAATAAAATGGACAATAAATTACTCAAGTCCTCATGATAATTCCAACAGCAAATCAATATTTTGAATTTCTAAAACTCTACTGTAGTTTAAAAAAAAAATTATATTAGCAGCCAAAATAATGGCACCTGGACAGTTTCCTAGGTAACAGGCTCTTGTTTGTGTTAGCAACGATGAGACGGGAACACAACTCGGAATGCTGGCTGGCTTGTCTCGACAGTACAGTGCCCTTGACTGCCAGCCTTGTCCACAAGTGGTGCTGCAAGCTGACCAGGTTGACCAATCAGATCCATACACTGCAAGCCAAAGGGGCGTAACTGGTCACTGCAAGTCGAGGTAGTAGTTTGGATGTCACAACTACCAGACACTCATTAGACATTGTGTGACAATTTTATTGTTTGCTTTCACCCATTAACATTGACTTTAACTATATTTAAATATGTTTACATGAGTATGTTATAAATTATTTCTTTTGATCAAAATATATTATAAATATCATGGGTCATTTTTTTCTTCTTCTTTTTTTTCTACTCCCTGAATGCCTTGCAGTGTCGCCTACAGTTGGTATTAGGAAGTATAGGTGGTTCGTTACCAGGTGTTAATCTTTAAGAATGTATAATGGAGGGGAATTTTAACAAAAAAATTATAAATGATGGAATTACTGCCTGATATTTCTCAGTCATTTTGTGACAATGTTATTTTCTTCTGTCATTTACCATTTTAAAGATACTTTTAACAATATTTTTTTTTTACTGTTTTATCCTTTCATAAATTGATTTTTAATTAAGAAATATGAACATTCTGCACAATTTTTAAAGCATATATTTGTCAGTTAATTTTCTTCAACTTTTAAAAGATTAATTGTCATTCATAATTCAACTTCCGGTTTACAATTTAAAAAAAAAACTATTTAAAAAAATTTTTTTTTTTTTTTTTTGTGTTCAGCAAATCTGAGAGTTTGCCGGGAAAGTCCAATATTACAGGGGTGTTACTGTGTGAAATGAACACGGACTAATCCTAACTCACGTTTGAAATTAAATTTTTCCCTGGAACTCTCGGATTCCCCTAAAAGAGGTAAAAAAAAAAAAAATAAAGAACAAAAGCACACACAAAATGTTTGTTCAGATATAGTAGTAGTAGAAATGTTTACAAAAATATCCTGTTCAACCCTCAGGGTTATAAATGGGATATATCATGTTAATTAGGTTCCTCCCTCCCTCCCCCCCCCCCCATGTGGGTTCCGGGGCTCTATTGTGGGGAAAACAAGAATAGACCCACTGCCTACCCAAAAGCATGTCGTAAGAGTCGACTAACTGGGGAGCCTCCTTTGAAGTCAGAGTGCATCTGCCTGAGAGGCAAGGAACCAGCAGTCTGCATTCAGTTGAATCAGATCTGTAAAACTGATGCACACGCAACACTCAGGTTCTGGAGCAGGACTGCAGTCCAGAAGTGGACAAACAACCGTAACTTTACGCCAGAGTGTACAGCATGTGAACGCGAAGAAGAAAAATTAAGTCCCCAGAATATATATATTATATTTGTTATTTTATAAATCATGTAATTATTTATTTAAGACAGTTACATCGTTTGTATTATTTTTTCAAATAATTTTTTGCTTACATCTTTTTTGGGCTGTGATTAAGACAGAAATTGTACTAAGAATATTATGATAATTTGATAAACATTGTGTCACTAACTCATGTTTGACCCTTCGAAGAAATTTCTTTAGAGATGACATGAGCATTTCTTTACTCATCTAGATATGGATTTTATTTCTAGTAAAAAATTGCCTGACCGTGCAGGGCAGGTCTCTGGGGCTGTCAAAGTCCAACAAGATTTCCATCGTCACAGGATGTGTTGGGAGGAATTATTTTTCCTAAAATACTTTTTAGATGGACAATCACTGCAATGTAGTTTCTAGATCAGCGGTTCTCAACCTGAGGGGTGCGACCCTCTTCACAGAAAGACCATAGGAAAACACATATTCACTGAAGTTGTCAAGTAGCAACGAAAATGATTGTATATGTGGGGGTAAACATGAACAAGTGAATTAAATAGTTGAAGCATTAGAAAGGTTGATAGCCACTGGTCTAGCTGTTTTCCTGTCGACTCAAAGACTTGGGTACAACTGTGCATCACGACGGATTTTTTTCTAAAGTAGCCGTGGCTCCCAGGTCAACACAGTCTTAAATGGGTACCAGGTAATGCCCTGGGAAGTAAATGCAACCAGAGCAATGTTGACCATATTACCCATTGGTTGTTCCTGGTTGTTTGTCCACCTTTAGACTTTGGTCTAGTTCCAGAACCTGAGTGCTGCGTGCACATCCGTTTAATAGATCTTACCTAATTGTATGCAGATTGTTGGTTCCTTGCCCTCTCAGGCAGATGCACTCTGACTTTGAAGGAAACCCCCAATTAGTTAACTCCTATAACATGTTTGTTGAGGAGTCAGTCTGTGTATTCTTGTTTTCCACGCAATGGAGCCGCAGAATCCACACATGGAGTAAATACTAATGTCTTGCCAGTTAAGAAAAAAATTTACAAAAACAAAAACAAAAAACTTTGAATAATATCACATAATAAATTTACAGTGTGTAAAGTACTTTTACAGTTACTTTAACAAATATTGTTTAGTTTTACCTTAACAATTCCTATGTACAGTTCTTTTACTGTTATTATCATTGGTAAAACACTTTGCCAAAACAAGTATAAACCAGATAATTTCAGCCTCATAGCAAAGAATACACTAAAAATTTGACATGCTAAAAAAAATGTGTATCTTCCCTTTCCCCATTCTGCCAGACTGCACTGAGTGTGTTTAAGTAAAGCAAAGTCAGTACTGTTTTTCTGTTCAGCTAACTGGTTATGGTATATTTTGGTTAATGTGAGCTGGTCGAGAGGCCTATACTGTAAGCAGATACAAGACAGAAGAAAGAGGAGAAAGAAGAGAGAGTAGAAGAGGAAGGATGTTAGCATATTTATAGAGATGTAAGTTTTTTAAGTGCAAAATGTAGAGTTATCTATAGAGATATGTGTGTGTGTGTGTGTGTGTGTGTGTATGTATATATAAATATAAGGTTGCGAATATCTATAGTGTCCTACACATCTGAGCAGCAGGAAAAACTGGCTCATAAACAGCATCCGGTCCTCACAGCTGAGCTATTCTCACCATGTTAAACATCAGGGTGGTCTGAAGAAGGCTGTGATGGAGGGTATGATTTCAGAACAAATCAGGCAGAGACTGACCTCCGCGAATGTGGATACAGGACACTGAAGATACACTGGCTATGAAAGCACATACAGGGCTGGAGAACTGGCTAGACAAAGAAAAACTCTCAGGTGTGCTGTGATGACAGGGATGTTTCTGTGAAGCTGACTGATGATTGGTGACAATTCCTGATGGTTAGGCTGATGAACAGCTGATATTGAAAGGCAAGGAAGACAAAGAATCAGACGGCTACTGGTACCAGCATCTGTAACTCTTTTCTGGCTGCTGAGGATGTGGACGGAGCACTTATGGAAATGACCAGAGTGTTGTAATGTTGATTCTTTGCTCACCTTAACTTGTTCAGTCTCAGGCGTGTCTTACCCTAACTTTTTATTTCTTACACAGCAGTTGCTAAAAGTAATATTTTGTTGAGTCTGAAGGCCTTCTCAAGAAGTCACAAGCAACTGAATTTATTGGATAGAATATGTATAACTGAATTGACTTCAAAATGCCCAAATGAAGCTGCCCGTTATTTAGTCAACTTAAAAACAAAATAAACAACAACAAAAACGCATTGTGAGTTTCTTGGTACTAAAAAAGTTACTCACTTCAACTCATAGTTGATAATGAAGGATAACATACCTGGCAGTTTGTGAGATACAGTTGTTGTCTCTGGTACTGGCTTGTCTGGTTCAGCTGTCGTATTCCAGTTATCCTGACAAGGAAAATCAGCATGTGAGAAAAAGCCAGTTAATTAGCGGTTTGTTAAAACTGAACGTGTTTGGGCGTAAGGATTTTATGGTCTACATGTAAACTGTAAAATAGAGTGACCACCGACTTTAGCATAAGAAGATGAAGAAGGAAAAGAAGAAGAAGAGGAAGAAGAAGAAGAAGAAAAAGAAGAAGAAGAAGGAGAAGAATAAGAAGAAGAAAAAGTAGAAAAAGAAGAAGAAGAAGAAGGAGGAGGAGTATGAAGACGAAGGAGGAATCATGTAATAAAAATCATTATAATGTGTGCCCGTATAATTTATTACAACTGTAGATCGCGAATCTACATTATCACTAATCTAAAAATTAATTTCTTTTTTTTTTTTCTTCTTCTTCTTCTTCTTCTTCTTCTTCTTCTTCTTCTTCTTCTTCTTCTTCTTCTTCTTCTTCTTCTTTGTCTTAGCATTCACCGGCTTTAAACTCTGGTACAAAGTCCTTTATTCATCCACTTCTGAACTTTGGTCTTGTTCCAGAGGTTGAGTTTTGCATGCACATCCATTTTACAGATCTAGCATATTTAAAGGCAACCTGTTGGTTCCTTGGCTCTCATGAGATGCACCACCTCTCCTGGGAAAAACCCTCTGATTGGTATATTAAGACATTTTACTTTGGATTGAGTCGATGTGAGAAAATAATTTGACATGCAGAGTTAAAAATCATTCATGAAATAAATCAGTCAATTACCTCATTAAGAATAGGATATCCACATTGCTCTGCAGCAGCCTGTGAATCTGAACTGATGGCCAGTTGTTCTACTTCGCCCTGGATATTGCAAAATATAAACACGTATAAACAAATTAGGAAGAATTGGACGGCTAGAGTAACTAACAACGATTACTTTACAGAAGCTAATGAATGTAGATCTCTACATACAACAATAAGAAAGAGACAAACACTGTTCTTTGGCCGTATAATGAGAAGACAGGCACTGGAAAACATTGTGACAACTGGAAAGATCACTGGAAAAAGGGGTAGAGGCAGATAAAGAGAGAGGATGCTAGATGGGCTGAAACGTTGGCATGGAGGGATATCATCAAGAGAGCTGTTCCAGGCAACCAGGGATCCTGATCTGTGGAGACGCATGAGCGCATAGGCCAGTTGGCAGGGCACATGATGATGATGATGAAACAAGTATTAATGGAGAATTAATACAACTTTTCAGAAAGAGACAGTCATCATATTTTGTCATGTTATGAGAAGAGGGGAACTGGAACATGGTGTGATGACTGGAAATATCTGTGGAAAAAGAGACAGAGGAAGACAGCGTGAAAAGATTCCTGACAGTCTTTTTTTTTTCATGGCATGGAGGGGTGTCAGCACATGAACAGATACACGCAGTTGCAGATCGCAGATTGTGGAGAGGCACGATCCCCCATGCCAGTCGGCAAAGCACTTGATGATTGATGATGATTATTATTTAAAACAAAAAATAGTGACGTATTTAAATCTTCGTCTTCTTCGCGTTCACCAGCTGTAAACTCTGGCGGAAGGTTCTGGTTGCTCGTCCACTACTGAACTGCAGTCCTGCTCCAGAACCTGAGTGTTGCGTGTGCATCAGTTTTACAGATCTCATTCTCTTGAATACAGACTGTTGGTTCCTTGCCTCTCCGGCAGATGCACTCCGACTTCAAAGGAAGCTCCCCAATTAGTCGACTCTTACGACATGCTTTTGGGAAGGCAGTGGGTCTATTCTGGTTTTCCCCACAATGGGGCCCCGGAACCCACACGGGGGCGTATTAAAATATATGATAGTCAAGGAAACTGCTTGTAAACAGCAACTTATCTCAGAAAGTGAAATATTTTGGTCATATCAAGTGCAGACACACAAATGAAGTTGACCCGTTTGCTGGAAACTGGAACGGCGACTAATTAACTACATACAAGTCAAGCAAAGGACTCTCTTCCGCACCTTACAGGTTTATTGGGTATATAGGGCTAGACCTATATTTTGTACACCAAACGGCACTTGGCTGGTGGTGTGGTCAGCATCACGCTGGCCGCCTTTACTTTTCAGGAGGCTGGATTGATCAGGAAGCCAAGGTCATTTTTTTAAATAATCTGGGCTCGTCTGGAACCGAACCCACGACCTTCCAATTCCCAGGCTAGAGTCTAACCGCTAGACCACGGCTGGTAACTGACTAAGTTAGGAGGTTGAAGGGGATATCTGAAGATTGTCTTGTTGGAAAGTTTGAGCCTCCGATCAACATCATGGCACAAGGGTAGTGACCCCCTAAGTGCTCCATTTTACTTCTAACTCAAACCCTGAGTCCGACGAATCTAAGCGCAATGCGAGAACTCGGTAGCACCGGCGAAGATCCTGAAATACTTTGGGTAGAGTTTTAAGGTTCTCCTTAAAACTACGGCCACTTATTATGGAGTAACACGGAGTTCAGTCCCCTGGTCGCATTGCAATTACGGAGTGGACAAAAGGGAACGACACAAATGACGTAATTACTGTGTGTTTGCGATAGATGCACTGCTGTCATAATAGGGTTAGGGGTAGGGTTAGGAGTGGCTGTAGTTTTAAGGAGTACCAATACCCTAATCCAAAGCCTAACCTAACCCTATTATGACAGCAGTGCATCTATCGCCAACACACAGTAATTACCTCATCGGTTCACGCTGTCTATCGCAAACACACAGTAAGTACGTCATTTGTGTCGTTCCCTCTTGACCACTCCGTAACTGTAATGCGGCCAGGGGACTGAACTCCGGCGTACTCCATAATAAAAGGCCGTAGTTTTAAGGAGAACCTGTTTACGTGTGCTACAACACACATGGGCTTCTGATCTTACTACCTAGACACCAGGGAACATTACTAGAAGTCCATGATTTAAAAGAAAAAAAAACAGAATTCACTGGAGAATGAACCCCGGGACCTCCAGCACTCGACGCAGACGCCTCAGAGACCACTCAACCCACTTGTCCTGTTGGATTGACACCCAGTCTGTGGGTCATCAGATCATTAGAGCTTCAAACCTTCATGAACAGCGTAGAAGAACCAAACTATCTGGCCAGCAATTTTTCTCGTGTCCAAAATTTTTTTGTAGGAAATGACAAAACTAAACACCATAGACACAAATATAATAATACTTACCTCAAACGGGCTCCCATACTGGGAAAAGTACGGTCCAATGGACATCATCAGATTGTTGCCTAAGTACTCATCCTTACTTCTCAACCGCCGTTTCAAAACGATATCGCAATCCACATGCATTGTTACCACAGATCCGCCAATACTCAACCCTATTGTGTGCCACTGGTTGTCCAACACATCAAATTTAAATCCATAATTGTTCCCAAGATACTGGAATTTGAACTTTCTTCCCATAAAAATGGCGGCCTGTTGTTTGCCATAGATGTCGCTGATGACAAAGAAGTATGACTTCTGCTTTCGTGAGCGGACTTTCAACTTCATTATAACAGAGAAGGAGGTGGGGAAGGTGATGTTGTAGACACGGGAGGCGGACGTGTGAAGTTTGGCATCCTTAGTGATGATGTAAGAGGAAGCGGCAGTGCTGCTTCTAGTCACTCCTGAAGGAAGGTCTCTGACACCGAGAAGGGTTAGTAGGTCGTGGCTACCTACAGATAAACAAAAGTAGGAAGGCGTTATACAAAGGACACATGTGTATGTGTTTTTGCGAGCGTGCGGGCACGTTTGTTTATGCCTGCGCGCGCGCGCGTGTGTGTGTGTGTGCGCGCGCGCGAGCACTCAACTTCACTCACACAACTTTATCTAAGGTGGCCGACCATAAAAAACATTCATCATCATCACGAAGCAGATCCTTTACATAACGTCGCTCTCATCATGGTCTGCCTAAAAGAAAACCGGTCTCTCGCCAGCTGTCTCGCCTCGTCTACTTTCCTATTCAAGGAGTCACTTATGTCATGTGCCCATCTTCGTGTTGGTTGGCCCCTGCCCCTCCTTCCTGACATAATGCCCTATGCTACCCCCCCCCCCCCGGGACCCCCAAAGCACGGTGGCGCTTGATTTGACCAAAATAATTCAGCTTCCGAGACAAGATGCTGTTTATAAGCCAATCTTCCTTGGTGTTCAGATCTTTTAGAATGTCAGTATTTCTTCTCTTCTTTGTCCATGGTATTCTGAGAACCTTTCTATAGCATATCAGCCCAAAAGCCCCTATTTTCTTTCTTAAGGACTGCGTGATAGCCCATCACTCTCATCTGTGTGTTGCCACGGGAAAATGCAGGCTCTCACAATTTTAACATTGATTTTCTTGCAGATCCTTAACCATACACTTTCAACGCTGGGTGAGCAATGTGTTCACAGATAATTAAAAGAGAGAGCTACTGTTACTTAGGCGGACTGCTCAGACACTTTACAGATTTAAGCCCTCGGGTTCTAGTACGCCTGCCTTCCTCCAGATCATGCATATCTTCCTGAAACTTCCATAGTCCAGTTAATGAGCTCAATGTTTGGTGTGAAACTGTCAGCTGTGGATTTCACCTGGAATTATTTTCATCAGTGTGCCCTCCCCCCACCCCCACCCCACCCCCCCCCCCCCCCCAAATCTCAGGTCCGGGCGACGCCGAGCGCTTTTTTAAATTAATTGGTCTTGGCTTCGAGGTCGACCCAACCTTAACGGGTATCAAGTGATGTGAAGGGAAGTAAAGGCGACCGGCGTGGTGTTGACCATATCCTCTGCCAAGCGCCGAACGGTTTAAAAATACAGGTATAGTCCAGGACCGTGGGATAGTCTTGTGTAGTCTAGGACCGGCGGATGGTCCTGTGTAGTCCAGGACAGGCGGATGGTCTTGTGTAGTCCAGGACAGGCGGATGGTCTTGTGTAGTCCAGGACAGGCGGATGGTCTTGTGTAGTCCAGGACCGTCAGATGGTCCTGTGTAGTCTAGGACAGTCGGATGGTCTTGTGTAGTCCAGGACCGTCAGATGGTCCTGTGTAGTCCAGGACAGGCGGATGGTCCTGTGTAGTCCAGGACCGGCGGATGGTCCTGTGTAGTCCAGGACAGGCGGATGGTCCTGTGTAGTCCAGGACCGGCGGATGGTCCTGTGTAGTCCAGGAGAGGCGGATGGTCCTGTGTAGTCCAGGACAGGCGGATGGTCCTGTGTAGTCCAGGACCGGCGGATGGTCCTGTGTAGTCCAGGACAGGCAGATGGTCCTGTGTAGTCCAGGACCGTCAGATGGTCCTGTGTAGTCCAGGACCGGCGGATGGTCCTGTGTAGTTCAGGACCGTCAGATGGTCCTGTGTAGTCCAGGACAGGCGGATGGTCCTGTGTAGTCCAGGACCGTCAGATGGTATTGTGTAGTCTAGGACCGTCAGATGGTCCTATGTAGTCCATGACCGACAGATGGTCCTGTGTAGTCCAGGACCGTCAGAGGTCCTGTGTAGTCTAGGACAGGCGGATGGTCCTGTGTAGTCCAGGACCGTCGGATGGTCCTGTGTAGTCCAGGACCGGCTGATGGTCCTGTGTAGTCCAGGACCGGCGAATGGTCCTGTGTAGTCCAGGACCGTCGGATGGTCCTGTGTAGTCCAGGACCGTCAGATGGTCCTGTGTAGTCCAGGACCGGCGGATGGTCCTGTGTAGTCCAGGACCGTCAGATGGTCCTGTGTAGTCCAGGACCGTTAGATGGTCCTGTGTAGTCCAGGACCGACAGATGGTCCTGTGTAGTCCAAGACCGTCAGAGGTCCTGTGTAGTCTAGGACAGGCGGATGGTCCTGTGTAGTCCAGGACCGTCGGATGGTCCTGTGTAGTCCAGGACCGGCGGATGGTCCTGTGTAGTCCAGGACCGGCGAATGGTCCTGTGTAGTCCAGGACCGTCGGATGGTCCTGTGTAGTCCAGGACCGTCAGATGGTCCTGTGTAGTCCAGGACCGGCGGATGGTCCTGTGTAGTCCAGGACCGTCAGATGGTCCTGTGTAGTCCAGGACCGTTAGATGGTCCTGTGTAGTCCAGGACCGTCAGATGGTCCTGTGTAGTCCAGGACCGGCGGATGGTAATGTGTAGTCCTAAATGCCAAATACGTCTGAAGGCGTGGAAAAGGGTCCTTTACTTGTCAGAGAATGGAGGTCGGCAGATTGCCAATGATCTAGCGGTATGCCTTATGCAGCCATCCATGTAAAGCTGCTGGTTATGTCCTGACTGTTGTTTCCACTGACGATAAACTGCAATTTTAGTAAAATAATTTTTGTGTTGATATTTCTGGCGGGTGCCTTATGCATTTAATGCGTATACGAGCTACTGGTCTGTTCACTTTTTACATAGAATAGTGATATGAATTTTGTTCGGGTTTTCTTAGTACATGAACGGAAGAATAATGGAGTGTCTCCTTGTCATAAAGTAGGAACTGCTAAGTAAGTTTAAAAAACAATATATATATATATATATATATATATATATATATATATATATATATATATATATATATATATATATATATATATATGCAAAATAAACGAAAACAAATGAGCACTCACCTTCACACGAAAACAAATTGCAGGATCTGACTTCCTTCTCTACTCCTATGCAAGAGGTTCCATTTTTGCTGGGACACTCGCGGGTCCTGAGCTGTTTCCCGCCCCCACAGGTGGCGCCACAAGTTGTCCATTGAGTCCAAGAGTCCCAGCCTGAAGAAGAGCAGGTGTAAACTCTATATTAAACAGATGAATAATTGTCTTGTTCTTCCCCCAGCACTTCCTGCGCTTGGTTCAGCTGCCCCAGTCTGTAAAGTCGAGTAAAGGACCATTTTCTATGCCTTCGGCTGTATTGGGAATACAGGGCTAGACGAGTATTTTTATAGACCAATCGGCACTTGGTGGGTGATGTAGTCAGCATCACGCCGGCTGCCTTTACTTCCAAAACTGCACCTGGTACCCACTCAAGGCTGGGTCGACCTGGAAGTCAAGGTCATTTTTGAAAAAAGTCCCGACTCCGTCAGGACCCGAACTCACGACCTTCCGATTCGCAGGCGACTCCTGGCTGCCCTAGTTTGCGTTTTAAAAAATAGAACCACTTCTCATATCAGCCATGTCGTAAAAGTCGACTAATTATTGTCGGAGTGCATCTGCATGATAAGTGAAGAACTAACAATCTGCTTACAAACAAATCAGATGTGTAAAACAAGTATGCACACAAAATGCGAGTTCTGGAACAAGGAACAAGACTGAAGTCCAGAAATGAAGTTACAACGAACATTTACAGTTTACAGCCGATGAACGCAAGGAAGAAGAACGCCGTATTTTTTTTACCATGTCATTGCTGTTTTTACTTCATCTACTTCATCTAAGAAAAAGCTGACAGAGCAGCCGTCTCTGCCTTAGTTACAGAGGGCTGGCCCATGGACCACGCAGACATTGTTAATGTCATTAGAGAGGTAGGACGTTTGGATGATATTAGGAGCAGCACATCCACATCTTTGCTAAGAGTACAAGAACTGGGAGTAAACATCGGCACAGTCAGGCACGAGAAGCACACCGGATGCACAAGAAGTCTTGTTAACCAGCAAAGGATTGGGACTATCAACCACGGGACGCTGATGTATATGTTGAAGGGGAAATCTGAGAACCTATGTCCGAAGTGCCGTAAAGGTAACTAAAATCATAACTCCTAACCGTTCTTACTTCAAAGAAAAACAGTGCAGCCTTCTACTTGCTTGAGAACGAGCTATACACACATGCCATAATTGTAACCGACTCAGCATGATGAGAAAGGTGAACAGATAACCTTCCTGCAGGATGGCAAGCATCACTTAGCGTTGATTGCATATTTTCTCCAGGTGATGCGGGTGTATTGGGAAGCGTACAGACGGACAGACTGGTTGGTTCTGCACCACTTGGGGGTGAAGTGATAGATGACAAGCTAGATGTTGCAAGGGTCATCTGGAAGAGAATGAACAGCGCGACAGCACAAATTGATCACCACAATCTAAAGAGAATGGCGCTGCGAGGAGTTACCAGGGGATCTGGTCGACGCTCTACACTCAAGGGAAAGGCGAGACGGATATACAATCAGGATGTTACTAGTTCCACTGGAACTGAAACTCTTCGTTTGCCGATTAAGATGGGGACGGAGCGCTTATGGGAATGTCGCGAGTTCTGTGATGTTGATTTTTAATTCAACATTGAACAGAAAAACAAAAAGATTGTACATGCCAATGGTAAATCAGGTATACCAGCGTTTAAGTTAATTGCGTATCCTTTACATGACGTTGCAGAAACCTCTTCTTCTTCTTTCTTTCT